AAATCTAATCATTATATTAGGGTTGAAGACCATTATTACAGTGATATCCAGCTAGGGATCATTTTATCATTTAAGATCATCACTTTGAGGTTTCAAAAGTGCATATGGTCAGGTGGTGCAGTGGTATCACACTTGTCTTTTGACTAAGTGTTCGGGGTTTGATTCCTTGATCAAATTTGAAAATTTTTTTTTAAAATCATCTGCCCAACATGGTGGGCTTTCTCTCTGTACTGTGATTTCTCCCAACAGTAAGACCCTCCTCCACTTCAAACCAGACTTACAACAGTGATCAACATTAGCCATAAGCCTGTTTCTCAATTGTTGTAAAATAAATCAGCTTTACATAAATATTTTCCTCTAGGTTTCTGACCGTTATACTAACAGAAGGAGTACTATATTGAGGTTTGCGGGTCGATGACCATTACACTAAGAGACTATTAGACAGTCCTGGTGTCCCTTTCACAGTCCATCATTTATCTAAATAAGCAGCATAAGGATTGTACCACAGAGTAAAAACCTCCAACATAAACTACAATCAAGAGAAGCCAATGTTGTTTCATTAAAGCATTGTAGACACCATACAGATCACCAACTCTCACAGCACGGCTAACTCAATCAATTATTCTACAACAAGCACCAGTATCTAACGTTGTGTCCACTTTACACCTCTTGTCTACTAATCTCCCCAGGTTTTAGTCCAATAAGAAAAAGACTTAACAAAGAGTACATGCACCTCCGTTTACAGAGCCAGATCATTAAACTAACTTCCATTAGCAGACAAGATAAAACTTCAAAGCATTTTTGTGTTAAGAGGAAGTCATTTGTAAATAATCTTAAATGAATGAATGCTATGTACGACACAAAGTACATATAGATATAACACACGAGGTTATCTCCCTTGATGTAGATTAACTTCAGACATTTAGCCTAACTCTCCTTTCAGGAAATCAGCATTTTAACGAATACAAAAAATGAACAGCTTAAAACAAGACAGGTTTTATCCTAGATAAGGACAACATGAAATAATTACTAAGAATTAGTACTGATAGCGTTGAAGTTCCTTGATGTGACAAGATGTAGTCAAAGAAAGAGTCGGAGAAACAAAACCCTGGCAACCTGCCAACCAACTTAACCAACTGACCGACTAACCAACTGACCAACCAACAAACCAACTGACCAACCAACCAACCAACTAACCATCCAACCAACCAACTGACCGATCAAGCAACCAACTGACCAACCAACCAACTGACTGACTAACCAACCAACCAACTGACCATCCAACCAACCAACTGACTGACTGACCAACCAACCAACTGACCAACCAACCAACCAACTAACCATCCAACCAACCAACTGACCGATCAAGCAACCAACTGACCAACCAACCAACTGATTGACTGACCAACCCACCAACTGACCATCCAACCAACCAACTGACTGACTGACCAACCAACCAACTGACCAACTGACCATCCAATCAACCAACTGGCCGACCAAGCAACCAACTGACAGACTGACCAACCAACCAACTGTCCAACCAGCCAAAAACCAACTGACAGACTGACCAACTGACCAACCAACTTAACCAACTGATCGACCAACCAACCGACAACCAACTTAACCAACTGACTGACCAACCAACCAACTGACAGACTGACCAACTGACAGACTGACCAACCAACCAACCAACCAACCAACCAACCTACCAACCAACTGACTGACAGACTGACCAACCAACCAACCAACCAAACCAACCAACTTTTTGAATACTTTATAATAAATCAGTGAATTTCAAACCTAAGTTGAAGGTCGTATTAAAACAACAACCTTTGGATATGACCTTGAGTAAAGTTCAACATAAGTTATATTATTACCGAACAGAAATGTCCTACTCAGTGTGGATGTTGACATGGCTAACATTAGTTATTACACAGTCTACAGAAAAGGATGGTAGAAATGATCAAAGACAGCTGATTTATCAGGACTACACTGAAAACGGCAGGGATGATCTTGCCTTCTGTTACAAACCGTTTCAAATTAATAAAAGTAGAATTTCACAAGTTAAGCTAATCTAAAACATCTGAAAATTTGTTTTACACACAAAAATTTGAACTGCTACCTCGACCAAAGAACAAGTGCCAAGAACAACACAATAATGATCAGAATCAGTTTCATCAACTCATTACCAATCAATTATCCATTACAATCATCTGCATGATAGTTGAATGTTCTGTTTCTTTGCATTGAAAATATTGCAGATCTTTTAATTAATGTTTATTAGAAACTTTGAATCTGATTATAGTGGTATTTGTATTCTATACTTAATGAATATCAATGATCAGTGATAAATATGCATGCTAGTCCTGTACTCTTACAGTTTGATGGGGTTTGTAGAATTTCTGAAACCATTTGAATTTTACATTGTGAGACTCATTTTTCCAGCAATAAAATTGAAAAGGAATTACTGAAATAAATTGATCCCAAAATGATAAATTTATTTTTCAGGCTACAACTTCAGTTCTCAATGACCTCTAAATGAACAACATTTTACAAGAATCATACTTGATCTCTGCATATCTGACTGAGATCTCAAAGTAAAACCTGAATTGTTGCTATGATTTGTCTCAGTAATATTGGCATTCAATAATTGGCTTGATTTCCTTAATTGATTAATTTCTGACTACTTTTGATTGTCAGCTCAACACCACAACAAACACACCCAATACTGGAACATTAATTATAAGAAGTCTTAACCAGGTATCTGTAGCGATGAAGACAGCCTGATATTGAATTTTACTAAAAGCTGTGATCTCAAACAGGAATGTGAAGGATGAAAACAAACATTCCATCGGACTGCATCAAGCAAAACTGTCTAATTAAATTGAGAACAAATAATTTCATGTCTTTAGAGCAAAGTCCAACAAACTTGTACAAAAAGAACTGAAAACTGAGGTAGAAGATCTGCAAACAAGACCAAAAAAGCTGATACTAACACGGGCAATAAATCTCCTTAAACCTGGACAGATAAAAAAAATAAGTTGAAGGGAAGCAGAGAGGGAAAGAGAGAAAGGAATGAGAGAAAAAAAGAAGAATGATACTAGACAAGAATGTATGATGGATAATGAACTGACGGTGGTGAAAGTGACCTGGTTATCTTTGTATGTTTGTTGTGTTAGCTAACTGTACAGAATGTGGAGGGGATAACTGACATACCTAAAGGCACAAGAATATGTAAGTGTAAAGTATCTCTGCAGGGAATGTGTAGACAATATATCTTGTATGTGTAGAGATATTACACCAAGTCACATCAAACAGCGCAAAGACACATACAGATAGTCGTTTCCATCAGGAAATCACAAGATAAAATTTTCTGAACATCATCAGTAAGAAGGTTTACCTGACAAAGACAGATGTGTCACGATTATCAAACAGAGTTCACCATGTGGATCTTCCCCTTCTTCAGACACACACCTGACATCACCATGGTGATCCCTTACCTATATATTACCTGTCCCCTCCCCAGATACACACCTGACATCACCATGACGATCCCTTATCTATATATTACCTGTCCCCTCCCCAGACACACACCTGACATCACCATGACGATACCTTATCTATATATTACCTGTCCCCTCCCTAGACACACACCTGATATCACCATGACGATCCCTTACCTATATATTACCTGTCCCGTCCCCAGTCACACACCTGAGATCACCATGGTGATCCTTTACCTATATAGTACCTGTCCCCTCCCCAGACACACACCTGATATCACCATGACGATCCCTTACCTATATATTACCTGTCCCCTCCCCAGACACACACCTGACATCACCATGACGATCTTTACCTATGAGTTACCAGTTCTTTGCAATGACAATACACACACCAAACTTTTAAACATCAAAGTGAAAATCTAAACCTTCAGTGAATAGCAAAATCTCCCATTAAATTTTTATAGTTGTTTGTCAATATTTCCGCCTGAATTTACCTGTAACACTATGTATAGGTTGTGACAGTGACGGATTGAAAATAACTCATACCTTTGTAAATTTTACAGCGAATAATTTTGAGGAAAACACATCAATCACTTAAACCTAAACTACAAAAATCTATCATCAATAACAATTAGCACCTGTTTATTCACCTGTAGTGAGCAGCTAATTGTATGCTTTATCAGCAGGTTTTACCTAGGATTCCTCAGGTAATTATAAGTATGATAAACCTTAACAGTAATTATCTAGTCCAGTTTCTTTTAAACTGTTAGGTTTTCAGTTTTAACAAATCCCGATACTATCAAAAGCTGTACAGATATTTATATCATTTCTATCAGCCTTACAGGTGAATAGAATTCTGTTATACAAATTAATCTATTCAAAGGTAACTCCCAACCTGAACAGGTGAGCAAAGGTAAAATGTCTGATCAATTGAGACTCCTCTCAAAGTTTTACGACGGACAAATTGATAAATAAAATAATCCTATAGAAATTTATTATAGATATACTTATCCATCATGTACGCTTGAATGATTTGTATGTCGTCTGATTTGTATAGCCTTGAGAGTACCATAGAATACCAATACTTGTATTACTGAATAGTCAGTGTACCTAAACTCACCTGTACTCGTTAAGGTCACACGCTTATGTAGAGTACAGGTACAAATTCTAATACCTATCCACTAAAAACGGGTCCAGGGAAGAAATCTTTCACCCTAAAACTTTCGTTTCTAAATAAAAGAATTATTATGCAAATTCCAAAACACTATCGATATTGTGTTTTCAATTTCAAAATTGTATGCATATCTGAAATAGGTATTATGTTTTCATTTCAAAATGTCCCGTTGGTATCGTTTTCAGATTTATTATGGAAATTACATCGATAAGAATTTGAAGACTATTTACCAACGTAATTTCCGCCTAACAGTTAGGCACTCAAGTGTGAAATCAACTACATGCATCAGTGAGTTACAGAACATAGCTGTGGATACATACCTTCCCTGATGCTCCCGGTTAAGAAGATTAGTGGTGCAAGCCACGTTAATCCAATCATGATGAACAATTTTCTTTAGAAGATGGCTAGATTTAATTCCCAAACTTGCTTGTAAACCTTTCCGAAAAGAGCACTAATTCATTGTGTTTCCTTCTGCTCCTGTCGAACACAATTGAGATAGGTATCACTCTTCCATTGTATAAATCTTAAAACAAATTAGATATTTAGAAAAAAAATACACAAAGCCCGACAAAAGATTAAGTCCTCCTTGGAATGAAAACACAAAATTGAAAACGAAAACTGATGAAAATTAAATATCACTAGAGATGAATTGTAATAGGTTTTCTGGCACTGCTACCTTCCACTCAGGAAATGATGACAATTTGTATTGTTTTATAAACATTTATACAGCACAAATAATCTGTTAGCACGAAACAAGAATATTAGAAATCCACACACGTGTTTCATGGAATCCTGTCAGAACGTGATCCATTCCTCCATAATCTAGACCTTAATTTCCTGTCTCACAACAAACTCTACAGAATCCCACTTCTTGTAAAAAAAAAAAAAAAAACCACAACACGAGCACGATAAGAAAAGTATTCTGCAGCCAAAAACTACACACCCTTCCCTTTCACTTGTGATAATGATAGCAGGGGAGAGCTTTCACTGCCCGAGGTACTCCCCGGCATGATTGCAGCGGATCTATTCAAAACAAAAATCCTTCTATTCCGTTCACGATTGCTTCACTTTTCGCTACAATACACAGTGAAAAGCTACCCTAGAAATCAATTGTGTGCCAGTCAATGGTAAAAAGGGGTTATGGACAAACCTCTGTACTGTTTGCCTTCAACCCACATTGGTACGATTAAATCTCTTCACATCTTTTAACAGTGTAACGGTGTCAGTTTTTTTTCTCTCTCTCTTCTATTCCGAGCAAATTAATACAGTCCACGGTCCTAAAGAGTTTTCTAAAGCATCCAAGTTCTATTTAATACACCTCCTGGCTAAGAAATCTGTCCAATGTTTTATGTCCCTCACTGAACCGCCGTTGAACAGACTGGCCTTCCTCTGCTGAAATGTAGCAATACAACACCTACTACATTAGTATTGTTACCATCCAGTCAGGTATTCTACCCTCTCGTATGTGTATATGTCTTCTATCAGGAGAAAGTATTACCAGAAGGCCAGAAATACTTGCGAAGTAATATCAACAGTCTGGATCGTAGGTACTAGGGTACGTACTTCGTACACTCCGCACGCACACACGTGTGTTGCTCCAGCTCACCGATTCCCCTCACTGGCTGTACTTATCTTTTACCTCTGTACCTTTCTACACACAACGTAGCCAACTCCAGTAACAACTCTCCCAGATAAAACAGATTAGTCAGCGTGCCTATCCTATTATAACTAGATAGCCGATTATAACCACTTCCTAAAGTCACTTGAGGTTTATAAATAACAGAAAATTCCAGGTACGAGTTTGACAGAAGTCTTGAGGAATCCCTAGGTTACGACTGACAGCAACACACTGGCTAATGTTTGTCTGAAGGTTCAGCTATATGGCAGTCTAATTGGTTTTATCAATGTATTCCTTCACAAGTTTCTGATGTTCACACAAGTTTGATGCTCTACCACAGGAGTGTACCTCCCTTTATCAATAATGTTCCTCCAGTTTTTTTGGCTGGCGGTGCACAACCACTCAACTGTATCCTTCCAGTATTAATGATTTTGTACAGAAACCCTGGCAGACGGCCTCAACACATTCACCAAACAAGTCACACAAATTAGAGTTTGGCAGTCTACTGGAGTATCACAGAGGACACAGCGACATGTTTTCCCCTGTCAGTGTTCTACAGTGGTGGAGCTTTCTGCGGAGGTACCTCTGTCTTTAGACTCTTGGCTTACTCGCCCCACACTACCGGCCTGAAACAGAAGAAACGAGAACTACATAACAGCCATGTACTAAATATAGCAACAGGACAAGATAAGACAAAAAAATCCACATAACATATGAAATTCAACGAAAAACTGAAAATTATGAATATTTCTAACTTTTTCATCCTTTCCTTATCCTCCAGATTACATATAAATATACATGGGATCTGACAAGCCAAGGAAATACTCTTGCCTGAATTGTTTGTAGGCCAGCTTCCGTACCATCTGTAGGGGGTACACATGAATTACAACATAGCTATTTTTATATATCTGGCATGCTGCGGAGAAGGAGAGCTTATTTGAGTTGTAATTACATTAAAATTCCAACATTGAAAATGTGAAGTGAAGCTCCAAGCCAGGCTCTGACTGAAGACTGAATCAGAAGCATGGATCGTTTGACATGCACTGGTACTTAGTCGGCCAGTTTATGACTCTCTGGTTTGTGTAATGACGAGAAGGTGTATATCAGGACTCATTTAATGAAAGTCTCCCCAGCTTTACAAAACACATTAATAACAATTCTCTATCTGTCATAAGAACAGAAACTTTTCAGTTCAGAAATTCCTGATCATGCACAGAGACAGGAAAAAATAATTGAACACATTTATATGTATTAAACATGTTTAATTTTAAACATTCAGACTTCTGAAAACGTCAAACTAACATTATTTTAATCATTGTGTTACCTTGGTGTTTTTTGTCTGTCAGGTTGGACTGTTTTTTCTATTGATGTTTATAGATAACTTGAGCTGTAAACTTACTAACCATCAGCCCCACTTTGTTTTAACACTGCTGATATTATTGTGTTTACTTTTTTTACATCTCCTTCCGTTATACTTCACATAAAAAAACTCCATTAACTTGCTGACTTTATTGTTTCACAGAAAAGCAATAAATCTTTAAGCCACTTCAATCATCAAAGTGAACCAGCATTATCATATCACACATCTTATATACGTCCTTATCCACATATATCCGTACCATCCTTTTTTTTATTTCTCTAGTCCTTCATGCTAACCTGCTAAGTATAAGCTGATATAGACAATATTTAAGTCATAAATTTTAATATTGAAGGTCAAAATCAGCAACCAGGGCTCTCGATCTGCCAGATTTGGGGCCGATAATTGGACCCATTCCCAATGCAAAATAGTATCTTTTTTTCCCAATTTAGACCCCAAGTTTTCCCAATCCTAAGGAAAACGCCACTATTTTTCCCAATTCGAAGGGACCCGGGCCCCAGTCCCAAAATGGGGTGTGAGAGCCCTGGCATCAGAGACAAATCTTTAAATAGTGGTAACATGTTAAGGATAAGTCAACACTGGCGATATTAAATATATAAATTTTGATACTGAAGGTTAAATTCAGTGTCATCTATATATTTTGACCATTTATATATATATATATATGTATATCATCCCATTAAATGTTATACTTAACAATCTTTACGTTGGAGGTATTTTTTTGATAGTTTGTATGGAATAAGAAACAACGACTATTAAATATGGTATTCTCTTTCATAAGATAAATAATAATAATAATGCTGACTAATATGACCTCTGATTCTCTAAGTATGACCTTGAACTATTCAACTTTATCTACAAACAGGATAATGAAACTTCATTCTTATCATCCTTTATTTATTTTTGGAATGACAGCAAAAGATGATTTGTTTACAAAAACACATGTCCATTACACCCACGACAACATCCTATTTTCAAATCAATCAGGAGATTTCACATCCTATCAGTATCAGCACAAGTTTGATTCCAAACAAGAAAGCTTATTTATAGGGAATCGCGTATCCGTCACCAGGATATTTCCTGTGCATGGTTCTGACACTCATTTCTGTCTGAAGATTCCAACAAAAGAGGTTTCTCTGTGTGCAAGCCGGTTTCTGACGCAGTAGGTTTTGTCAGCAGATTCCAACACGGTAGGTTTTTTTTCTGCCGTTTTTGAGATCGGCATTTGTACATCACAAACTGTCTTTATTGGTATGAATTTATATGTGAACAAGATAGTGTTAAACTCTTGTAGGAGACAAAAACTTGGGTCTTGTTCCTTGTGGAAGCATCACAACAGTCTGTCACTTTCACACTCCTGTAGACATCTATAGACATTTTACATTCTAATTACAATACAAAAAATTATTTGTATTTAGAATTACAAAAATGTAGTTTTACAAAAGTCAAACATTTCCTTAAAACATTATCTTTATTGAAAAATGAAACCCATGATGATTATTTCCTTTGTGACAATTCTTGTAACATTTTCATGTGAGTTATCTCCCCTTAAAGTCATATTAAAAACATTCACAACAAACATGATAATTTCCTTTGCAACCATTCTTGTAACATTTTCCTGTGAGTTATCTCCCTTTAAAGTCATATTAAAAGCATTTACAACAAACATGATTATTTCCTTTGCAACCATTCTTGTAACATTTTCCTGTGAGTTATCTCCCCTTAAAGTTATATTAAAAGCATTTACAACAAACATGATTATTTCCTTTGCAACCATTCTTGTAACATTTTCCTGTGAGTTATCTCCCCTTAAAGTCATATTAAAAGCATTTACAATAAACAAGTTATTTCCTTTGATTTTGCCTTTGAAATATAGACTAGTTTCTAAATGTTTTATGATTTGTCTAAAAACAAATACAGATTCAAAATATATACAACAGATGAAGGTTAGAGTAAAAATGTCATGAAATTGCTTACATGATGCGTGTGGTTATAATAAAGGGTTTTCCAGCAGTGCAGCATCTCTTAAATTTGTTTGGAACATGCCACAGTTTTGTTCAATACTGATGTGTCTTGGACGACAACCTGTGATTTATATGGAAGTTTGTAAGCAATATTTCAGAAATATTTTACATAATTTCAGAATACCCTTCTCCCCAAAACACAAACAACCTGCTATTTTTCTCCCTGAAGAATATATATACCTAAATGTTACAAATTGCTGGGGTATTGATCTACCATCAATTTTGTTAGGTCTAGTGATGTCGGATTTTTAATCCATTGATTTTGATCAATTCTGCAGTAGAGCCCCTTCTAGTGAAACAGGGACAAACTGCAGCCCCCTCTGGTGGCCATTTTACTAGGAGACAAAGAAACACACCAACGACTCTAACTTGCATCATATGTACATCATGTTCCCGAAGTTGCTAATTAGTACAGAGGGAGACAGGCTATAAGAAGACAGACGTGCAGTCAGCTTTTCAATCTAACCCATTATTCAGCCATAAAACAATCACATGGTCACCCTTTTGGTGTGTAATCTTGAATAATTAGTGTTAGCAGCAGGAAGAAGATGGAAAGACTGTAAAAATACAGGCACTCCTAATTCACTCATAGAGGGCGCTCCATCACAATAATCCTTAAAAGGTGAACCACATGTTCACAACTTCTACACATCATCTGAATCGCTGATATCTGCGTGATTCTGCAATATGAATCAACCTCGATACTGACAAACCTCTGTTTCTCTCTGATGTACAGAATGAACATGAACTGTTTTAATGGTGGTTTAATGGTGTTACTCTGGTAATCAAGGACAGGTGAAAACATCCTACATTTCTATAATGAAGGGATTCGATGTTTCCAAACAGTGATTATTCCTTACAGGAGGGCAGGTTTGACATCTGGGGAGAATCCGTTCAATCTCCTGACTATGGCCCTCAGAATCAGAACTACTCTTTCTCTACAAGGACTGGCCTTATACAGAAATGCCTTGTTAGTTTGAATAAAATAACCAACTTAACCAGCATATCAATCCATTCATGAAAGAATGGAAAAAGTTGGATTTTTTTTTCTAACACATTCAATTTGTGTTCAGAATATCCCATTGTTGAAACTTTCATCTTAATTTGATTCAAACTTTATTTTAGCTCCGTTTCTTCATAGATTAAAACACAACTGTAACCCAGATTTACAAACTTTCCTTTCACCCAGATTGAAGCTGACAACCATCTTTACACACCAGTTGCTGCAGACCTCCAGGAGAGTTGCTACCAAGCATGACATAAACAGTGAAATCACTGGAGCGTGACCTGATCAGCTAATCGCTAAACCAGACCTTCCTGACTCATTCTTGACTTTTCTTGAGCACTATTGTTTACAAGCATACATGTTGTACAGTTTGGAATACCAACACCAATCAAAATATTGATTTTTTTTCTTCTAAAGTTTTCAATTTATATCATTCACTTCATTTACATTATTCAGGTCTCAAAATATTATACCTTATAAAACACAATCAGTTCTGACTCAAGATTCTGAAAGGAAATCAATTCTATTCAGCTCCAAGTATCAAGCTATTGAAATACACACCACTCTCTCAGACATTTCATTTTCTTTAATGTTGGCCTTCACGTTTCAAGGTTCTGTGACAATTCAATAGAAGTTTAAAATTCTCAAGAAAAGAAATGATAACTTTGACAGTAGAAATAATTAAATAAATTGATAATTCATAGAAATGACTTAAGAATTCATACCTTCTAAATCTACCACACACTTTTTAGCATAATAATGATATATATATGTAACATATCAGTTGATGAGAAACTCTGTTGTTATAGCCATATGGTACACATCTAATGGAAAGTTCTTTTGTCGTAGCAACATGGTCACATCTGATGATTGGAAAGCTCTGTTGTCATAGCAACATGGTACACATTTGGTAATGGGAAACTCTGTTGTCATAGCAACATGGTCACATCTGATGATAGGAAGCTCTGTTGTCATAGCAACATTGTCACATCTGATGATGGAAAGCTCTGTTGTTGTCATAGCAACATGGTACACATTTGGTAATAGGAAACTCTGTTGTCAAAGCAACATGGTCACATCTGATGATAGAAAGCTCTGTTGTCATAGCAACATTGT